TTTCCTGATCATAGCTAATACGACATTTTCTTGCCTCATTCTTAAAAATGTTTCTGGCCCTCACCATGTTAATTCTACTGGATTCAGACTCTTTTGCTCTATAAATATCCAACATTTCAAAAAATAATCTGCGCTTTTCTTCACATACCTTGTTGTACCAAGGAATAAACCGTCTTTGTTGACAATGTTTAACATTTGCTACTCCTGTACTGTATTTTGCCATAATAGGAGCTGCAGCTGCAGATAATGCCCCATTCAACAATTCCATCGCCCTATTTATAGATTCTTTATTATGATCCTCGTTCTCCATTAAATTATCAAGTTCATTAAAATGCACCAGAGAATTAACCTGTAGATTTTGTAAAAATGTGACCCCAAGTTCTGGTTTCCATGTAAACTTTTTGACTTTCACATTACCGTTATTAACAAGATCACCCTCCTCAGGCTTAGTTAGATATGACAAAAGAGAGAAAGAAATTGACATATGATCACTGTACAAATTAGGTTCTCCAACAACAAACTCTGAAAAAATGTTAAACAATTCTGGCGAGGCATATACATAATCAACAAGACTGCAACCTTGACTATTTGTAAAAGTATCAGATCCTTTTCCAGCATCTTTATCATGTCTACCATTTACAATCCGTAGACCAGTAGTTTTACAAAAATCTATTAATTTAATACCATTTGCATTAGCCCGCCCCTTATCGACGGAGGCCCGGTTCACAATATTGTCAGAGTGATAATCATCATCAACAGGTAAGTATGTATCAATATCCATATCTACATAATCAGGTGTGGTACCAGTTCTGGCATTCATATCACCAACCATAATAAAATTGCATGTCTCATTAGCACAGTTTACAATATCCATCATGTGGTTATGTAATCTATCTAAGGTGTCAACATTGATAAATGCCTGTCTACCCGAGTTCTCTGGCAAAACATAACACAGGCCTACATATATGTCGTTAGTAAATCCAAAATGTGTTTTTTTCATTTTTATAAGTATGATATCATCTGCATCATAACGGACCAATTCAATTCCTTTGGATATACTACTACGTATATAAACAATCAGACCACCAGAGTCCCGTTTCGAACCTTTCACCTTCCCAGTTTATGTATTATGAAATTTTCAAAGTAATTTACGTTTAAATCATTTAATTCAGAAGACCATGTTTCTGTAAATAATACAATGTCATTGTGTTCAAAAATGTTTTCAAAAAAATCACTTTTCAGTTTGTTACATCTTTTCGATACAAGTCCCTGTGCATTTAGATATGTAAATCTCACTGTTTCAAGATCTAGATCAACCGTTGATCTGTCCTCATCTGTGCACGATCGGGATACAGAGTCCGCATGTCCCGCGCTGTCCTACTCTCCACTGGTCTTAGACTGGCTGGTCAAAACCAACACGTTGTATATGACCTAGGAGTGATGTGATTGGTCGTAAATTTGAACTTTTACCGGACTACTTTTTGCCACGTGCTCGCCACGCGGTAATTTTTACATCTGTCGTCTGTTCGATAGAAACAATTCTGAGTGGGACATGGATGAATACGGGCTAACGGTAGTGAAAACTGGCGATGTTTTAAGGATTGCCGATGGGTTGATTGGTACGGTGACCAAAGTGGACGCCGGTTCCAAGAACGTAGGTGTCTCTGTAAATCTAGTGGATTTCGATATTAATGAGTTTATTGAAGCTGAACAGAACAAGAACACATTGAGGAAAACCCAACATGACCTGAACTGGTTTTGTACGTATCTTGAAACCCTCTAAGAGAAGCGACCCATTGAAACTATACCCCTGCACAGCTGAGCAAGCTGTTATGTGTTTATGTTATCAACGTTAAAACAACGAAGGGTGATGATTATGAGTAATCAGCTATTATAAGTGTATGGTCTCTAGTATTGACCGTTATCTCAAATCAAAAGATTACGGATTACAAATTGTTTCCTCCCCGAAATTTGCTAAAGTAATGCAGATTGTAAAGTGTAAACAAAGGAAACTGAAACGGGACGGAAAGGGGAATTTACACAACAGGGCATGAGAGGTGTAACAGAACACTATCATATGCGATGGGGGGATGTGAAAGTTTGTACTAATCGGGAGGGAAATGAGTACCTTGAATTCATTGAGCGGCAAACCAAATCTCGCCCTGGATGTAACACCAAAAATGTGAGGGCTTTACCACCTCCTACTAGGGCTACACCAAACAAACCCATCCCGATTCCCTGTCGCTATGTTGAAAGACTCCCAGTCCCGTCGTCCCCCAACCTAATGTTCTCCTGATAATCCCTACTACATAGCAACAAACA